TATTACCATAACATTTTAAAGGTGTATAGTTAAGATTTGCTTTATAACAATAGAGCATTGGCGTATAGAGAATAATAGAAATAATAGCAATAGCTAATGAACCTTTTTGAGCATTTTTTAATGAACTTAATTGTCGACAATGATGATTACTTGATGATATCATATATCGATCTATTGTAGCTAATGTATTTAACCATAATGCTACTGCTCGTGATGAAAACGTAATAAAAGCACGTAATTTACATGGAATATCATATGTTGCTGTTATATCTAATTCCCAAGTAGCTGCTATTCTTGGTGTTAAACCAATTATTATTGATATAAGATTAGCAATTGATGATATAAGAAATAGAAATATACATGGAACTGAACGAAGTGTTCGTTGTGTTAAAACAAATATATTAAGAGTATTACCAATAACACCAAAGACGAAAATAATTACAGATGCATATAAATTTATTGTTACACTAGTTTTTGATAGAGCTTCAATTAAAACAGCATTGTCTGTTATCGTCATTATATTCTATATAATAAACAAAAAAACAAATATCAATATACTATACAGAGCTTGAAATGGAAGAAATCTTAGAATATTTGCTTATGCTTTTATAGTAGACAAAAACACCCGAGTATCTATTCTGTTGTTCATTTATTATTAGTTAAACAATTTTAATAAAAGGTTTTTTCAAACTACAATACAAAAACAAAACTTATTTTTCTCTAAAAAAATCTGCTAATGTTGTTTATCGTATTGCTTTCGAATCAATATATAGGTCTGTTAATTTGAGTAGCTGCCTAATTCAAGTTCGAATATAAATGGACATTAAAGCAAGAAAAACTAATACCTATTTCTAGTAAAAGATTTAGTTTTAGAATAATTTTCAGATAAATCCCCCTCATCCACTCCTTGGTCGTATATATGAATCATATACATCTTAAAGTATAACTGAATCTATTCTTAAATGTCACCATTTATTTTCGAATTAGTAGTGTGCAGTTGGATGTCCATTTATATTCGAATTCGAATTAGATAGCTCTTCAAAACATATGATAGAAAGTAGGAAGAAGTCAAAAAAACGTCATATATATGTTCACATTGGAGAGGTGACAATACCAGGTGGGACCGAAAAAAAACGTTCATATTGGAGAGACGCAGTTTCAACAAAAATCGCTCCGTCGGACCTGAGACCGTTCATAAAACAGAGAATTTCACTATCGGAAGATTTTACTATACTTCAACAATTTTGATGTACGATATTGGATTAAGATCCTGGAATAGACTAATGATAATATATGTGTATAGATATTAGCATAGGAAATGAATGCTAAAACTAGTCGGATCTAAAAATATTACTCTCAGATTGAAGCCGTAATCTAATATATCCAATAAAAAAATTTATATTTCAAACTAATGATTACATTACTCCTTATTGTAATCAACATAGTTCTTAGGTTTCTTTGATATTAATGATGATATTTACACTTGACTTCTGCAACTAACTAAGATCGAATGTCTTTTCATGAGTATCTACAACTGACTATTTTTATTTAAGCAATAATTTATAAACTCGTTTCAACTATAATGCTATCAAACTTATAATATATAACGTATATTTTTCTTAATTATAAAATATAAAAAAAATTCTACGGGTATATGCACATGTCGCGTGACAATAGCTAAATATATATTTGTTAAAGTGTTTTTTTATTCTCGTCACTATCGAGTATTTTAATATAAAATAAATAACCTGAATAAATTTGCATTATTAACTATATAATATTTCATTCTAAATGACTGATTATTAAGCCTTATTAATCTTTCTACAAAGTTCTTTTTAATAAATTTACAATATAGAGAACTCTGGAACTAACGAAACGTCACATTTTTTATAGAGCGGAAGTAAGAACTCATCTCTGAACTATAGTAAGTAATAATACGTGATGTAATTGAAAGAATTTTGAGAACAAAAGATTCATGTTTATGACGTACTCGTATATTATTATGGTAAAAGTACATTGACTTTTTTGTGTTCAAAATATACGAGTTAATTTAAATTATATAATTTTTTTGTTGTTACAAGGGAAACTATTCGAAAAAAAGAATATATAATTCAAATATAGGATTAAAACCATTAGTCTATTAGGTACATTCTGACATAAGGATGCCACGTCTCGTCATACCTTTTATATTTTGTATTCCATCTCATTAATACTCTTATACGATCGTATGTATGTTGAGCTACCGTAATTAATATATATATATATATTTTTGCAATATGAAACAAATTTAACAATAGAATTATTTATTTGCCAAGTAACACTTCTTACCTTAACTATACTATAAATTTATATAATTACAAAGCTATAAGACGACGATTTACTGTTTGTTTTTTTTTTCGAATAGCTTTAGAAAATGTTACTTACAATATATTGGAAGCAATTTGAAATAGACGTTTATCATAAAAGACATGCGTATTTATATGAATTGTAAAAGTATTCTAGAGACAAATGAGGAAGTGTATTTAATTTATTTTCTATTATAGTTGAAATAAAAATCTATAATAAGAAAGCAACTCATATGATGCAGACAGGAACACATTTAACAAATAATAAACAGGTTGAGGACAAAAGTTAAAAGACATTATATGTTTTACTCAGAAATCTTTAAAAAATATTTGACGGATATAATGTGCTGTGTAATAATTATAAATGAAAATAAAAAGGACGTACTTTTGCTGATGGTCGTAAAGCACTATAATGATAATTTGTTAATAATTCAAATGCAATTTCCTGTAATTCACTTTCTTCACTTTACTTAATAAAATTTTATTTATTAAAGTCTTAAAATATTTAAAGTACGTTTAGAATTTATATTGCATAAGTAAGACACCTTGAGCACAAATAAAAAAAGACAGAATATGGATTATGGTATAGACTGTCATAGAGATTAATATGATTATCTGACAACTATAATCTTTATTTTAACTCTCTTATCGCCGGCAATGATTTGCTGATATGAGGGTCAGAATTTAACTGAGTAATAATGTTCATCTATATAAATTTCGTATTTCAATCAAGCTTAAGATTATTACTTAACTGTTATAACTGATTGAATACTTAAATAATGAGCTAAGAGAAGGGGTAAATTATGATTAAAGGAAATTTTTCCTTTCTTTTTGTCTATTATGAGATTAATTAACAGAAAAAAGCCATTTAAATCTTACCTTAAAGGTCGCAATAAAAATAAACTATACGAGATTCTATTTCAATACTTTTTGCTTACAGTTAATTTTGAACAGAATCATATGAATAATAATTTACTGATTCACACATAATAAATAAGCGTGAATAGCATAATTATTATGAAGAAAAAGTAAAGATATATTTGGTAAATTGACATAATATGAAATATACTCATTCTACTCTGTAGATCCTAAAAAATATTTATGATTTTTAAATAATTACATGTTTTAATAAAATTAAATCGTATAATTACGTAGCTAAACAACAGTAAATAAATTTTTTTTCTTTCTACATGCTTTCATAATAATTATCCAGAAAAAGTAATATTTTCAACAACTGTGAAGATTTAGATGAATAGATAAGTAGGGTGTGGGTTGTTATTTATTCTTTTTACTTAAATCTACTACTATGTTGACTTACATATTACCTTACTGTTATTCATAGATTAGTATCAAGAATTTTTGTCCACCTACACTTATATAAAAAATGATGAATATGACTTAAAATATCTCAAACAATCCTCATATACAAAATACTTAATTAGAGAAATATGAAACGAAAAAAAAAGATGATAATAAATGGTCTAGTTCATACAAAATTCTCATATTTAAACAACGTAGTAACAATTAATACATCTTCTTTCCTCAATTTCATGCCATTTTATTCTGAAAATTGACTTTTATATTGTATGTGCCAGGTACACATTAGGAGGAACTATTCACATGAAGGAAATTAATCAATATGATGCGTCATAGTTTTATAAGTCATGCGGAATGTTCAGACATCTATATTTCCTAAAATCATCGTATAACGCAATACCACAGACTATTAGAAATCATTCCATTATTTTATAATTTGTCTTTTTCAATAGAAAACAATTATGTCGGAAAGAAAGAATATTATGATAGCTTTTTTTTAGTGTCCTCGAAAAGCGGGTACACTACTACAATCGATCAATGTGCACGGCCGTATACACGATAACTTGGGAAAGGAGAGTCAGATTTGGATGAAATTGTCTGCATAATTTAAACTCATCAAGATCTCCGTCTAATTCGAAGTTAAGCCTAATTGGAAGAGTTATTGCAAAAGAACTGATATTTCTATATACACTTTTTGCAGTTCACATAACTCTCGGATGAAATCCGCATTTATTTCTTTCTACGAGAAGATTGAATTGGAATACATAAAAATGCTCTAGTTATTTTTATTTTGTCTAATCATGTAAAAACGCACAATATGAAAACGAATGATGTCTTTTTTTTGTTTTTGTTGTTGATAATGAAGGTTTAATTAACTTTTTTTGATGATGATGGATTTAATGTTTTAGCACGTTGTGTAAACATATGCTTGTACATTGTTGGAAAATCTAAATGAAAAAAACAATGAATTGTAAATAAAAAGTAATGTATTTCGATAGAACTTACATGTATAAGCAAGAAGAACAACGACAAGAAAATAAAAATAATCAAAACCGAAATTAAGTTTATTTGGTAAAAGTATTGAATATCGATTTCGAACCGATTCAGGATAAATTGTTCGCATTGCTTTGATTATTGTAACAAGTTCACCCTATTTATAAAAAAAAAAGATTTTCTATATTATTTAATTGAATAATCAAATCATACTGTTACACCCAATGGATAAAGTACGATGAAAAATGAATATCTAAAGATATATATATATTTATCTTTGAAAAGAGATGAAGGATTTAATTTAACTAACCGACACCATGTAAGTAATTGAGGTGAAGTTTGAAATAAATTTAATGCATAATAACCATAACGAATAATTTCTGTAATACTCCATGCTGTTACTGCTAAAAGAATGCCAATAGAATGTTGAGCCTAGATGTGAAAATAATTACAACATTATTATTTTTTCATCGAGAAAAAAAATTTACATGTGGAATATAATTAGCTACACCCCAAACAAGAAAAACACGTGATATAATTTGAATAAGAACAATCATGGGATTTGATCGAACGAGACCAAACATAGCATGAAAAACCTTAGCAAAAAAACAAACGAATATTTATTGAATAAATAAATATATGTATACTTCAAGAAAAGCAGCTGTTTGACAAATTTTAAGTGGTAATTCAATAGCATTCCATAAACCATAACATTCCCAGAAATCACCAAATGAATTATACGAAATGACCCGTTTAATTGTTTCAAAAAGAATAAGTGTCCAACTAGAATATACAAAATTCAATTAATTTTATTTTAATAGAAAAACATGAGACAAACCCAATAGTAAGAACACTGTTATAAATAAGTAAATAAGCAGTTGTTAATTGTGATGGTGACTGTTTTCGAGTTGACGATTGTTTTCGTGGATCCATTATCTATAGAAGAAAAGAAGAGTTAGTCGATGTTTCGGAGGCATTAGATTAGAATTCATGTGTGTATATGTTTACTATTAAGTTTTAAATAAAAGACTGGGTATAGAGAGTAACCATTCATGACAGTTCTTAAATTTATAACTGGCGACATCTAAACAATGCATACAGAGGTTGTATCTATAGTAAATGGGAGACATTTCATAAACTATAGATTTAATTATTTAGTTTACAGAAAACTAAAGCGAAATATAATTTATTAAAACTAATATTCAAAACGAAAAATGAGCTAATATAAAATTTCTTTCACATATATATATGTATGTACTCAATGTCGGACTGTATTTTACATATCAGTTTAATATTTGATTTAATAAATCATGATATCGAATATTGTTTTTACTACTTTGATCATTTATTTCAAGACAACAAACGATTGTTGCACTTTTCATAATAAATGTGTAGATAGTTATATGATTTCATTTTGTGTCATATAGTTCTCTCAGCAATTATTAATATTAAAAAACAATTATGTTCGACTTACCAGCGAAGCATTAGCTAATTACTGATTTTTTAATTAACATAACTTATTTATTCAAGATGCAAACTTCAGAGAATTATATTTTCGTTCCTTCATCATACTTCTCCTAGTATTGATCTTAGTCTATCACAATTAATAAATACATACTACGTTGTCTTTACAACTATTAATCCTCATTATTTAAATACTGTTTATCAGCATCGAATATGATCTTAGAAATCATATAGTACCAAAAAATATTCAAGTCAATGGAATTTCTTTCGATTTTGTTTAAAGTTAATTAAACACAAATTAGTAGAATAATAAATTTTAACTGTTCTTAAAACTATCATGTAAAATTTCATTGATGATTATTAACAAGCAAAAAATGTATTAATTCAGACTTTTAATATTATTGTGAAAAAATCATATGATCATTCTTTTTTTCGATTACTTCTATACACTTGCAAAGGACATAACGAAAAAATCTTATTTTATCCATGTGACCGTTCTGGTTGATTAAACACATAGTCATACTATAAATATATTGCTCCATATTTCATATTATTAATCCAGCGATTGTACATTTCATCCTATTTGTATACTGTTGTTCAATGAGTTTTATTTATTTGATTTGTATTCATTTATAAATATAGTTGGTAATATCATCTAATTATATCCTTTTCCACATATTTTATTATTTTAATTTTAGCACAAAGCAGTCATATATGGATATATGATACAGTAATTTTATCCAGGAAATTCCTCCATGGATGATTATTTCGGTATTAAATTTTTAAACGTTAGAAGTATAAAATAAACATAAGTCATTGTTTGTAATTAATATATTGTTTTTATTGTTATAGAACTGGTGTTGCAACAAAAATATTTTTTACGTCATTATACGGACAAATCTACAAACTTCTATTCTGTTACATGATATGTTTTTTACAATTGTTCAGCAACATTGTAATTAACATTAGACCTCTTGCTAAACTTGCGTATGTATTTATCAATAAATCTTATTTTATTTTAAGAATTTTTTTATAGATTATTGTTTGTCAATAACCGTCTAAATGTCAAGTAAGTTTTATAAATTTTTTTGAATAATAAAGAATCGATAAATTTATGATTAATCTTGAGTCAAAATGATTTTTAAAGAAAACACTTCACCTTCATCGTAGTTTCTGATTTTTGAGTTAAATGAAAAGAATGTGAAGTATATTAACCGTACAGTAAGAATTAAAATATTAAAATGAATCTTTATTCTAACCATGATACAATTTTCTCGATCAAGTTAAGTATGCTCTAAATTTGGAGTTTATGGATATTTAAGTTTTCGCAAAAAATTCTAATCATCTGTTTTTAATTGTTCTAATAGATATTCTGAACTGTACTAAGTCAACTGGTGATGCTCAAGAACAAAAAAGCACATAATCATAAGCTACAATTTGTCGAAAAATTTTTAAACCCGTACAGTCCAAAACTTGAAGCTCACTTAACTTGACCAGTTCTCTCTTTGTTTGCCGTCTTGATGAAGTAACAAAAATTCACATGTTTTAATGAACTTCATTTTTTTTATTTCTTATAGGTTATGTACTTAACGATGAAGAATTGTCTGTGAAATTTGCAAATGCTATACATTAGATATAACAATATTATCTGAAATGGTGCCATTAAAATTACTTACTAGGCTTAAAAATGACGACCGTCATATATATATACACGATAAAACAATCTCAAAAGAATTAAAATTTAATGAGAAATATATATAAACAATCATAGCAAAATAATACAACAATGCTGTTTATTGATTTATTTCAATAGATACATCGAATTTTAATCTGTTAATATTAATGCAATGTATAATTACTGAATTAATCGAAGAGTTGCACTTGTTGTCATATAAATTATTTTTCTCCCAAGATATATTAAGAAGGTATTACACATATTTTTATGAAATGAAGACAAATTAATATTTTACTACTTTTTAGATATCTAAAAGATCTTATATTTATCAAAACTTTACAAAAACAAAATTACAACCTTCTACAATCAAGTAGTATTTCTAGTAATCTCGTTTTATATTTCTTTCTTTTGTGAGTTAATTACTGATTATTATTTTTATAGTACTTATATATCAATAGAGATCCATCCAATCAGCATTTACAATGAACAGCTTTATCTGGTGACTTATGGATATTGTACTACTTATTATAACATATCAACGCCTGATTAAATAACAAGTTCAAATGATTTCAGAAACAGAAATATCTAGTCCCCACTGTGTCTCTCAATCACAAAGTTTCACAGAAGATGATTTTTGCTCAATCAACCGCCACTGACATATAACAAGCAATATTTATTTATATCAGCTTATCTTGATAATTGTAGTGATTAATTTTTGTTTTTTTCTTGATTAAAAAAAATGGCCTTTTATCTCTGAAATGATACATTCTTGGCATATCATACTTTTAAAATCTAACATATGCATGATTTATAGAATTCTTTATACTAAAAATTGTCTGTGTTGAATAAAATATATATGATTTGAAGACTTGATTTTATTCTTCTAATTAAATAATTTTGATCGGCTGTTCACTGATTAAAACAAAATCAAAAATAATATAACAAGAAAAAAATATTTTTATACAAATGTGTCGATATTTTGAAATGAAATATCTTTGTCATCAACTGTTTGAACAGTCATAGGTAAAATATTTGCAGGTGAAGAAAGACGTCGATGACATCGACGTGGAATAACATTTTGTTGAATTGAAGGATTTATTTTTGTCGATGACAATTGAATTGTATAAACTGATGTAACAGCAGTTAAAGATTCACTTGATGTAGAATTATTATTATTAACATTTTTATTCAAATTTGAATGAGATATATTTGCACCATAATAATCATATGGAGAATCGTAGTAGGGCTATAAAAACAAACAAAATTTTATATTATAATTCAATTGGTTTTCGTCTAAGATAGGGTACTTGTAAAAGACGAAAAGACCCACTTTTTAGCTGGTTAGATAGAGCTACTCGACTTGTATACGCCCTACAAATTTCAGATTTCCATGTACTTGTTAAAAGAAAATAGAAAGGACTACTAAAATGAGTAAGCTCTCATAATTGAGAAAGTGTGCTCTTTGCTGTTTTCTTTCAGGAAGCACATAGAAAGCTGAAATTTTTAGGGCGTATACAAGTTGACTAGCTCTATCTAGCCAGCAAAAAATATGGGCTCTTGTGGGTTGACAAAATCAATGTGTACTGGAAAATTATTTTTACTTTTAACCATTTCGGGCCTTCGTAGAACCCACCCACAGAGCTCTATTTAGTAGTGAAGTCAGTTTCCGATCTGTGGGTCTTCGCGTCTTTCACAAATACTCGTTGTCTACTGAATATCAGGTTGGAATAAAAAGGCAAGTTCATATACTTTACATCCACCAGACTTTACCAACTTCATTCTTTCTCTTAGATCTTATTTAGATTATAAATATCTTCTTACATACCATGAATGTCGCTTCCGAATTATTGGTTGTATCTAAAAACAAATAAAAATTAATGATAAAAATCATAGTTTCTTATTTTATTTTCATTAGTTTATTCATGCATAGGATGCATATGCATGCTTTATTTTATATGTCCCTTTTTTTTCTCTGTCTACCTGTTACATGTCCTGCATTAACACCTCGATAATGTAAATAAGAAATAACTGCATTAGTAACAGATTTCATTGTTGTTTTATTAGTTGATATAGGTGGTGTTGAAATTTTTTTAATTGGTTTAGATGTTACAATCATTTGATTTGATTTTTTATTTTGAATATCTTTTACATCAACATTCGAATATTTTGTTATTGTTCCAAGAGTATTTGATGATACTTTTAATTTATTACCTTTATTATTCGATAATGATTTATTAGAACGAGTTGTTTTCGATGATGAATGATGTTGAATAGCTGTTGGATTCGATTTTGTATCTGTAATAAGTGTTGCTGATGAATTTGCTTCTTTGGACGAATGATTATGTGATGCTAAAAAGCAAAAGAAAAATTTGATTATCACTTAAATTAAATATAAAAGATTACTATCATTATCATAATGTTCAAAATCATCTCGCCATTTAACTTTATTGACTGTTGTTGGTAGTGAATGTTTCTCTGCAACAATATTTACTTTAGTTGAACGTAGTGGACGTTGAACACGAAGAATAACCTAATCATATTAAAATATACATTCTTAATTTTCTTTGAAAAAATTAATCATACTGGATATGGTGATGCATAACTAAGAATTGTTAAAGCATCTTCATAAACTATCGATTCAAAACATATAGTTAATGCAATGATACGATCACCTATGAAGAAAAAAAAACAGAAGTATGATAAAAACGAAAGGTACTTTCAGAAAATCAATACCTGATCTTAATTGATCAGAGGAATTTAATTTCATATGTCCTTGAGATGTTTCTTTATCAAGAATTTCTTTAACAAATATTCCAGCACGCATATTTCCTGTGATACTAAAATTTAGACCACAAAATGTTGGATTTAATAATTCAATATCGATCATTTCTACATCCTATATTTATAATTATATAGAAAAGAATAGAAAAACAACAAGTATTCATTTACTTTATCCATAGTCACAGAACGAAATGAAGATTGATTACGATTTAACCAATCAATATGATTATAATGTCCACTAACACTTGGTGTTTGTGATTGACGAAATGGAAATGTACCAAACTATGTATAAAATTAAACAATTCATCAATCAGTTGAAATTATTCTTACTTTATAATCAGTAACATCCACTGGTAATTGATTATCTTTACAATCTACTGCATCTATTATAGAGATTATATATGTATATATAATATTCTTTTTTTTTTTATAACAAACCATCATTTGTATACTGTTTTTTATGATTAGAGATTGAAGGAGCCATAGATTGTTGTTTTGATAATGTTCGTACATATTTTTTTCCATGATTTTCGTATGAATGAAGTTCTATGGAGTGAAATTAATTTCTATATGAAATATATATGTCATAAGAACAAACCTTGTAATTTCTGTCTTAAATAAATCATCCAAGTAAGAAAAGCAATAAATGCTGATAACAATAAAGTACCAATAATTGCACCAGCTAATGTTCCCTGTGACATACATGATGAATCTGAATTACTTGATTTTTGATTAGCAGGAGTTGTGACTCCTGATGAAATTTCAAGAAAAGGATCTACGAAAAAACCAGTACTACTACCAACACTAAATGGATTATCTGTTTGACTAAAATCGAGTATTAAAAGTATTAAAAACCACCACCAAACCATTCTTATACCCATGCCGTATGTTGGCATTTACTACATGAGTTATACTATAAGACAGAAACATAGTAAGTCAAATGATGAATATATTATTCTACCTGGAATTGAAAATCAAGTAAATAGAATAAGACAAAGATCATGTATTATTTCACACGTTTTTTTGATCTGATAGTCAGAATTAAAGAAGAATAGTGAATAAATCGGTTAGCTTATATGAAACGAAAAGATTGTTCGTTTAATAGACGAGCGAGAAATAAAGACAAGTAAATATTGTACGATCGAGACTAAAGAAGAGTAATTAAGACGAACGACATTTCTTCTTCTTTTTTTTATTTTATCCGATAGCTTACATCACACACACAATAGTTATTCATTGTGTACGTCATTTACTCATATGAAATTCAATCTTTTTTCTTTTCTGTCTCTTCGTCCCATCTGTTCTTTTTTTCTTCCGTTATCAATCAGATTTGTTGATGTTATTATTATTGTTATATAGAATAGAGCAATCAAAAAAAGTAGTGATATACAATTTCGATGATTCTCTCTCTCTCTTTTTCTCTACAAAAATTAGAATAAGTCAAGCAAGAGAATTCCCTTGCGTTTTTACAAACACGTTCACTATTTGACATTACAATGAATACATGGAGACAATCTCATTTCTTTTATCGAAAGGAAGAAAATAAAATCATATGGGAGTATATGATAATTGTAAAAGATTTCTTTTTTTCTATACTATAAATTCAATCATAGAAGATCACAACTGTCAAAAGAGAATATATATGTCAGAGCTTTATTTTTTATATTAATAAGAAAATCTATAGAATTATTTTATTATATAGAATAAAAAAAAATGATTATTGATAGTTTTCATGTATGGAATACACTTAATGAGATTCATCTTTTGATTATTTTGATGTAACAAATATGGAGACTACGATCGAAAGCATTCGATAAAAATTTTTTAATTATAAACTAACATTATGAAACAGTATCCTGATATATTTATACCATTATTTAAGAAAGAATACATATCATATGTAAATGATACTCTGTATGAATGTAATTGTTCTATTAATCAGAACAATGCTTAAAATAAAAAATATAGATTCTGAAAAACTGAATTCAAAAATTTGGTTTTCGATAGAGTGCACGTCATTTATCGATATAAATAGCATTTTGTATTTGCACAATGATTATTTCATTGAAATAGAAAAGAAAAAAGAACACCTTGAAAGCATGAAGAGTGCAAATCAAGTTTAGATCTCGTCTGAAAACGTTGCATCTAGATTCAGAAATATTTAATTTGAAAAATTATTTTTTATTTTCAATTAAAAAACTTGAAAAAAACAAAATTTTATACGGAATCGACTATAAGTAATTTTGTTGGTCGATTTAATTTCGATTGAATTTTATAGGATTTAAATAATAAATACTTGGTATCTATTATTTCTTTACAACAAAGATCATCCGGTACAGTAATATCAATATTAATACGATTTAATTTAGACGTACGAGACTCAAGAATAGAAGCTAATTTATTTACAGAAATATGAGTTGGTGGTTGATGATTAGAACGAAGTAAAAATCGAGTAAGATTCGGTACAAAAGATAATATTGAATCAATTAATTCACATGTTATTGAATTGGATGAATAGACTGTTAAATATCGAAGATTTGAATGTATCTCATTTGTATTACACAGTGGAAGATTTTCTTGATTATTTCCTCCACTAAGTTCAATTTTTAAACGAATTAAATTTGGACAACTATGAAGAATTTGAGTATATATACGAATATCCCAAATACTTATACAAAGTATTTGTAGATGAATAGAACCGGTCCATTGATTATTAATATCATAGGAAATATGAGGTAATGAACATGAATATAAATAACGAAATTGATCAGAAAAGATTAAACGACAAAGTTGTTCTGTACGATAAATAAATCTTGAATTAATTAAATGTAAACGTTCAAGATATGGAAAATGAAATGGATGAATTGAATTCCATTGTTCACGTGTTGGTTGACAAAGAATTAAACAACGTATATGTAAGAATAATGGAGGTTTAATTGGATCATATAAATATTTTGTATGATCAATAATTAATGTTTTAATTTTTGATAAAAAAAATTGATTTTTTCGATGATTAATATCTTCTGGTGAATAAAGAATAAGTTGAAGATATTTAAAATTTTTAATATTAAAATTAAAACGTGAATTTAATTGTGAAAATATTTCATATAATTCATAAGTATGAAAATATTCAAATAATTCTTGAAAAATTTCATTTGGAAGTTGTTCGAAAATGAAACTATCACTCATCTAAAAATAAGTTGAATATTAAATTGTAAATCAATAAATTTCAAATTCTTATTTTAAGTATTAAGAATGATTTTTTTTTTAAATAAATTCTTTCAAAAATAAAAGAAAACAATGAATACTTTTTATTGATTAAAAAAAAGCATTGAGATTCAGTTTTACATGCGAGTAGATTTATGATTATCAGTTATTGATGAAATAAGTAATCGTCCTGGTGCATAATATGATCGTGAACGAAATATAATTTGATTGAAAAGTGGATGAAGTTTTTTTAATAATTCTTTTTCATTTTCGAATTCTTTTGGATCTAAATGATTATCATTTAATGGAAGACTTATATGAATGATACGTAAATTTGTTAAATAACGAGTTAATAGTGGTGCTAATGAACAAATATCGATTTTATTTTGTGGTGGTGGATTACAAGGACCATCAAGTGTAAATCGTGTTATATTTGGTATTAATGAAAGAATTGTTTCAATTGTTGATATTGTTATTTCAGTTGAATAAATACCAAGTTCAAGATGACGAAGATTTAAATAAGATTCAAATTCTAATGATTCCGTAATATTTTCTTTTAAATTTAATCGTAAATAAGTTAACATAGGACATAAAGAAAATAATTTTTCCGGAGATTGTGTTCGTGTTATTAATGTATGAAGTGTTGGTATTTGTTGACAATTTTCTTTATCAAATTTAATTTCATCTATTCGACATATACGAAGACGTGGAAATGCATTTGTTAATAATAATAAAGATAATTGATCTGTTATTGTATTTTTATTACCTGATGATTCAATATGTAAATGTTCAAGTGTTAATGATGGTTGAATTTCATTACATTGTTCAATAGTTGGTAAACATAATTTTAATGAACGTAGTTTATGAAAACGATTTAAATTTAAATAACCACCACGCCAAATAATAAGTCGACTAATACACGATGAAAATTTATCAATAATTTCATCGTCAGAATTTGTTGTCCATTCAGCAAAAAGATTTGATAAATTTTCTAGTATACAATTAATTCGTTGATTTAAACCAAAAAATGTTCGATATAAATCATATATAGGAATATATTCAAAAAGTTCAAAGAAAAGTTCATCAGGAAATATTTCTAATGACGAACGATGTTGAATATCATAGTCACTCATGCCTTCAAAAAAAAAAGTATAGAAAAGAGAAGAAAAAAAAAGAAAACCGTAATTTCATAATGTAACGACATACAAACAGGTTTGCTTTACTCTCATTCGAAACATGTGCACGTTTAGTAGGGTTTTATTTATATTTGCAAAGAAGAAAAGAAAAGAAAAAAAGAAAAAAAAAAGATGAATTAGTACGTGAGTCATATAAAATATTTTACGTATTATAATAATAAAACGATAGTTCATGAGTAATACACCTTCAAATATTTTATTACTTAGACTAAATTGTTCTTTGTCAAACAACTATATCTTATTCAGAAAAATGCATATAGATGATACTAAAATAATGTAACTTTTTAACTCATCGTATACGATTCAACATTCTCTGATTCACATTTTTTATACACTTCTGAGTAATGTCGCCGTTATGTCATACTTTGTCTATACGTATAATTTAAAATATTTTTTTTTTCAATTAAATAATAATGTCGGCTTGAAGATATACACCGCACTTATCTAGTATACCAAATAATTTGATGTAAATATTGTGCTTATGAAAACTTAAAATAAAAATATAACTTTTAGTAACTTTATATCATACATCTTATTTTGTTAAGAAATTAACGGCGAATTTTGCGATAACAAAACGATTTAGAATACATATATATGATTTAATTGTGTAGATAAACATACTTGAAATTTTTATTATGTGAGTATATAGATTAAAGATGCGGCATAGAGTTCTTCGCTACTGAGCACATGAAAATGACGTTTGCAAATCATATTCAATGCCTACAACAAAAAATAATAGACTAAGATTATTGTTAGACATAGTACATTAAAAAAATGATCTATCGTTGTGATAGACATATGTTTTTGAATACTAACCAATGTTGTATTTCACTGATTTAATTCAATTATATTTCTTTTAAAGATTGTTGATTGAATGATAGTTATCTAAATCCACTTCTTGTATTCGATGACGATCATCATTTACATGCAATATATGATTTATTCTTATACTTCATCAAACCGATGTTTATCACTATACAAGTCTACACTTCAATCATGATTAAATATATATACATCGCTCATCGTTATTATACTCAAGTGGATATACAATAAGACGATCAATAGTATATGCTTAAAATATTTATTACATATCTAACTAAATTGTATTTTATTTGAACATTCATATAATGGTTGATTAACATATATTAACCTCTTCACTGTTATCGACGCCAAAAGGCGTCAGAGAAATTTTTATAAGAAAAATAAAAATATATTTTTTATGTTATGGTTTTTCTTAATAAGTAATAAGTCCTTTCGAAAATCTCATGATATTTTAAGAAGTTTTCTGCCTCGAAAAGATTCTATTAATGATATTTTCCTATATCAAATGTATTTTAATTTACATCTGATGAAGTTGCATGTTCTCAGCACGATTTTTTGAATTGATATTTATTGATTCAAAATGTATGTCAAGTGTATGATAGAGATTGTTCTTTTTCAATCATTCTAAATAGACTCATGTGGATAATCGTTCGCATATATTGGTGTAAATGTATATTTTACAATAGTTGGTGAGCAACAATCAATCTATTAGAGAAATAAAACGTTTAATTTTGAGAAAAAATTACAGGAAGAGATGTTTTTCTATTTTTTACTCAAAAGTAACATTTGTCTTATATATATAAATAAAGATATATATATGAACAAAAGGTTCATTAGTCTTAGATAACTATAAATCTGTAAAATTTAAAAAAAAAAGATTTTTAGTTAGCAAAAATAAACTTAACAGTTAAGGGGTTAATAAGAAATTTCCTTGTAATATCTGTAATTTGTTTTTTGTGATGTGCTTTATTTGTCGGAACTTGAGAGAGTTAAGAAGGCTGTTGTATACTGGATGTTTTTGGTGTGACTGGTAGGTGCTGGTATAGTATGCTAGATATAGAATTTTTGTGAAAATATGTTGTATCTGATTGATGTATGGTTGTATGAAGACTTATGTGGAATAGATGTTGGAGGAAATGGTCAGTATTTTCCGAAATTTACCTTTCTCGGAAATATGAACACTGCTGAGAGAGATCGCATCTAGATAGTATAAGAAAACTAGAGGATGTATCCGCTGCAAATTCTCTCTTACACAGTTCTCGCTGCAAAATCCTTGTCTTATAGTTCTCACTGCAAACTCTCACTCACACAGTTGCCGCTGTAAAAATCCACTGAAACAAATGGTACCCGCTGCAAAATATTTATATTTCAAGCACCTTCCGTCTCCGATCCCCTCGCCACTTTTCCTTGTATATACAGAAGTATAATTGATGGTTTGGTGACGTTAGCTATCACAGAATCACCTGAGTAGAGTTTCAATCATGCCCCTCCCCCCCCCGGGCAAGTTTTCAACCCCCCCCCCCCCCCCCCCCCCCCCCCCTATGACCATACCAACACTCCGTCGATCAGCCTTGGGACCAAAGGAAGCATTGTGGAAAGTTTGTTGATTATAGCTATTGCAAGGACTAAATGCATAGCGAACAGAAGATGTGCGTTCAGACGGCCTTCGCTATCTATTTTTTAAACTTTTTGAAATGCTCCAATCCTACTGGTCAGTTTTATAGATTACCTGTAGCAAGTACCGGATCACCCTAGATAGATGGAACATGTTCATTGTTGTCTTTAAGCGCTCAGACGGCCTTCGCTATTAATTTTTTTTAAATTTTTCAAACGCTGCAATCCTATTGATCAGTTTTATAGGTTACCTGTAGCAAGCGAAGGATTCTTTTTTTTTGGAAAAAAGTACATGTCGACCTTTCGCTGCGTGTAGATATCATTTCTGGAAAGTTTCATTGCATTTACTCGTACGATCTCCAAATGCATAAAGAATAAACAGACAAACAAACATTCTTCTTTATATATATAGGAGAAGATAGATGAAATAAATTCGAATTGAATTCATCATTGGATGTATCTTTATCTATTAGTAACGAGATAAGTCGAATTTAATCTTCCTATGACGGATGCCTTACAGGTATTGTACTGATTTTGGTTAGAGAAAAAAAAATCAAATTTTATCAGGTATGTAAAATAAAACGTTAATAATATCAATACTCATAAAGTTTATTTGCATATTACTTGTCAATTGTTTAACTTGTTGTGTATATATATTTTTTTTTATACACTGAAGAAAACTTGAAATGCGATGATTGAGTGGTAAATATTGGGGAAAAAAGTAATATGACTTGATCATCGATTGACTCAATGGAATTTTCAATAAAAATAAATTTATATGTTATTTTGTTGTTGGCTAGAGTGTGTTACATTCTTTCTGATAAAAATTTACTTCAATAGGATATGATAATCAACTAGCATGAATAAAATTTATTTTTCTGATCCGACCTATATTCTTTTTTTGTATTTTTCATTATTATTATCTACTTAAGTAGAGACATAAACTCTTATTTAATGCTGCCACGTCTTGATATTCAATAAAATACGATCTTCGGAAAAGATATGTTTATTGAAGGAAAGAAAAAGAGAAACAATAGATAGAGAGAACGAAAGATAAAAAGATATATGTAAAACACATACCAGATGTGCAGAATGTTTCAAAAAATCAAATATTCCCACCCCGGGGAATTTTTTTCAAGGAAATTCCCAAGTTAAACTTCGAAAACTACCCCACAATTTCCCTCCCTGCGTGGGGGCGCACGAGGAAGGTTTTGCACCTCTGATACATACATATAACGACAGTTATATATATATATGTGTATATGTTGAGTAAAACTATAACAGAAAGGGAAAAAACACCATGACACATTGTTAGAAGATATGGATAAATCCACTTTCTGAGAAATGCTGAAAATAAGTGTATGCACTATAGAAGAAAGTAGATTATCAGAAAAGTGTCTTTAAAGATCATCAATCAAGAAAAATATTCTTGTAATTAAAAGAAAACATGTTTGTATTCTAAATTTCGGATCCTGTTGAACGGATTCAACTTTAAATTGGCTAGTTTTCTCCAGCTGTTAATCATACAGTAAGATTTTGGGTTAAACCGTCTTGTTATATCACCTTCAACAAAATACATTATTCTTGGTATGTGAAGATTATTTTGATCTAATACTACCTGTTATTAGCGTACCAGTGATTTGAGAGTCATATAGCCAAATCAATTAGAATATTTGAATAATTTACAGAAATATAATTATAACATTTTATATCTTGGTATCAGAAGCTGATCGAAAATGATGTAAATAGATAGATATGAATTCGTAATGATTCTATAGAATAAATGAAAACTTTCTTTATAACTACGAAGAATATTTTCATATCCATCAATACTATCACATTTGAGGCATTGTACTGATATAATCGATTAAAATCTGATCTTTTGCATGTTTTTAAATAAAATGTTACAATCAAATGTTGTACATATTAAATGTTTATGTATTAATATTTCGGCAGACGATTTGACTCTATAATTCTATTCGTGAAATTCTCATACGCACACCCATCCTCAAGAATTTACCGTTTTACTTTAAAGTTGTACAGAAAAACTTCGAAATCATTCAATGTATTATTCCGATACAAAAATAATAAAAAATTGACTTTCAAAGTTCTGTTAGACAGATATGTTTTTATTAACAAAAAAAGTAAATCATATGTTATCGAATATATTATTTTAACCACAAGCTGATTGCTTATATTTCAAAGCTCGCTGTTTATATTCTTCTGCACATTTCAAATAAAGGTTTGCTTGTTTGCGTAAATTACTTTCTAAATCATTCCATAATCGTTCTAAAAGATCATCTCCATGATCGAATATCATCATTTTATCACAATAATCCATTGCCCACTCTGCATAAGTAGATACTGATCCACAAAAAAGAAAGATTTGTATAAGATTTGAACAATCATAAATTTCCGGTGTGACTAGTTTTGCAAGTGAACCTGAGACAATAAGATAAATTGATTCATTTGAATGTGATTGAATATATTTAATACAGTCTTGAACATCTATAAATGTTTGAACATTTCCTAGTTTCGTATGGAAACTACTTTCTGGATCCGAAGAATTTGCATCGAGCCAGATAATAGTATTTTTAATCATCACTGTTTTGCCTGTGTTGTTTACTTGAATGTAACGATAGAGAAGTAATGCTTACTACAGACTTGTCTTCAGTATAAATATTCATTATTGAGAAATATTCATTATTGAGAAATATCCATTATTGATAGAAATCCACGTAGGCAATATCCCAAATTGCTTTCGAAATTCCCACCTTATTCTTTACTGCTCTATGCATTGCGTATGATTTTCTTCCAAATGAAAAGAAAAAACAGAAAGGAAAAGAAAACATGACGTCATATGATTCATCCAATAGAAGAGAAAAAGGGGAGAAAATGACGTAATATACACTATTTAAAGTAAACATATCATTTAAATGAATTTTTTTTCCAGAAAAAATTATGTCCAGAGGGTGTAAGTTCATCTGAACTGTTACCCTTCAATTTATTAACGTTGCAGCACTCTCATCATTCGCGATCATGGAAAGTATTCTCACTACTGCTAAGCGACTCTACTATTGCATCTCGTTGTCTTTGATAACGATTTTTAACAATGTACAAAAGTCTCGTTCGATTCTTCAGAATTAATTTAGTCTTTCTCATCTGATGGGACCCTTAAGCAAGGCTGAGATCGCGATCATAGTAGCTAGTCTCACACTGTCATTAGGCTTATGAATTTGCATTGATTTCGAGTGACTATAGAATTTCCTTGTCGATTTGGATTCTCGAATTCGAATTGACCTTCGAAAAAAATTTGAGAAGTTTCCTGACCGGGAACGAAATCGATCATAGTAGTTTGTCTCATATCCTCACCCACGCCCTTCACAAACGTCGAAACTATAGTCGTAGAAATTTGATAATAAATACACTTCACCCTCGCATCTATCGCGTGTACGAAAATGAGCAAAATTAGACGAGATCGATTGAGCAGCTTTATTGTAATTATGTCATGACTGACATGTAACGGTTCATGTGGCGATGATGAGAATAAAAAATATCATGAATTTTCATTGAGATCTTCATATCAGTGATACAAGAGTTAGTTTTTGAGGAAGAGCGATAAAAAAGCACCAAGGAAAAGGGGCACGCGAAATATCAACTTCGACCTCATCGCGCTCCCCATTTTCTTCCTCTATTATACTTAATCGGTGTTCATCGCAATTCAATATGAGTGTGTATACGATGTCAGTTCTTCCAAATCGTAATTCTTCCAAGTCTTTCCGTTTCAGTCGTCCATTGAGAACACGACCAAGATCTATTTCAAAGCCGTATGTCGAAGGGTCAATACCATAGGAACCTCTTGAATAATGATCTGCTATAGGTGGTATATTTCGTGCATGAATACCCAAAATTGGGTTGCCCTTACGAATCTTGATTCGGATACTGTGAACACCAGACGAATACGAATGTATACCAACGGCACATGCACAGGCACCAAATCGAAAATTCTCGAAAGTTCGTCCATTATCCAATACTCGGACGTGCGCCTCATCACTTGTATAGACCTCTGCGAACTTCTCATCCATTACCGTATTTACAGTAATAGAATTTGATGGCGATGCAGTAGGAGCAGCCATATCTTTTCTCTGTAGTTCAATTTGATGAAGTGATCTAGAATGATAAAATATTATCCTTTTGTTCTTTCATATTCTTATCTTGCGGTGCGCTGTAAAACTTTCGAAAAAGAATTTTCCTAATGAGCAATCACCATCTTGAGGGTGTGGATGTGGATGTGGTATGGGATGAGTATATACTTATGCCCACACCCAAACCTGCACACACCCTCGATGTATATATTAGTGAAACAAAAAAAATCAGACTTCGAATAAATAGATTTGTTAGACAAGTTGAAAATAATTCTAATGTGGTCTCTAATTATTTCATATGTGAATAAACAGACAAGGAATACGAGTGTAAAGAGAACAACTATTAATGTGTAGCTGTTTAGATGATTTATTTTAGTCTTATTAATACATACAATAAAAAAATCAATGTCTTATAATTTTGAAATATATTCTTTTGGTACGTTATTATTAAATTGATTTAATAATTTCATAACCAATGCACCCAATACATGCCAATCATTTTTCTCTTGATAAATCTGTGCTGATAATCGCAAATAACATGGAATATCACCAAGTTCAGGAGCAATATTACTAGCTCCACTGACCATTGTATCATAAGTATTATATAATTCATTGACTAACATTTGACATATTGTAAAATTTGTTGTTGGTACTTGAACATTAGTCATTCCACTTTGCATATTTTCTGGTGATAAAATTTTTGTTTCCCATAAACGTGATAAATATTGGCCACCATATTGTGCTAAATCTTGATTATAATTCATAATACGTTTTTCACCACCCAATGATTGTCGATAATCTAATGCAGATAGAATTGCACAATAAGGTGTTCGATCACGTGTACCTGTCCATATAAATCTAGATTCGAAATCATCAGTCATAGCTGAATCAACAATAGCTGGTGCTGGTACATATAAATGTTGATGATCATGTCGAACATAGAGTATTGCACTACTTTTACTTGAATATAACCATTTATGTGTATTAGTAAAATAATAATCAACATTAGACATATCTTCAATATTAATTTCAATATTTCCAAGTGCATGTGCTCCATCAACAATAACAGGAATATTATATCGATGAAATAATTCTACTAATTGTTTTACTGGTAATATAACGGCAGGATATGCAGATACATGACTAAATATAGCAACACGAATATTGATTGAAGATGCATTAGCTTCTAATGCAGCAGTTATTGGTTGAATAAAAGATTCAGGACCTGTAACTGGCCATTGAATAGGCACTTCCAATGTTTTAACACCATAACGTGAACCTAACCATTGATATAAGCCTTTAAATGGACCATAAGCAGTTGATAAATCTAAAATATAATCTGATGATCCTAATGGTGGATCTAAATTTCTAATAATAGCATTAATTCCTTCACTTGCATTATCAACTAGTACAGTATCCGATGTATTTTTAATATTCATCATTTCTGCTAATCGTTGTTTAGCTGATATAATACATTTACGATATCCTGTAGCACCATTCATCCATTCACGCTAAATATTTAAAAATAAAAAACAAAAATAAACTATTTAAGTTTGAAAAACACTTACAATAGAAGATTCCATTTGTTCAACATATTTATATTGAGATTCAACAACAATTTTTGCTGTACCACCATAAGCTCCATGATTCTAAAGATAAACATGTAAGGAAATATTTGAAAAAAAAATGAATACATACAAATTGATGAAATATAGTACCATTTTTAACAAAGAAAAAATCATTTAATCGATCATTTCCAAATGGTATCGGATCTTTGATTGAAGATGATGATGAAACTAATGTCGAAATAAGTAGTAAAAACACAATCATCATATCAGTGCCTAACATGTTGAATGACGTCGAAATATCAAAGGTTACCATAAAAACATTATCATGTCCTTCTAACACTGATAAACACACACCTCCTATTTTTCCTAGTTAAAGATATTCTGTTAGGTTATCATTGTGTATTTTTTTCAAACATTAGATAACAAACATAAAAAGATAAGGCAGTTTTTTAGCTTATATATTATCAAAATTTAAGACAATACAAAGTGCATGACTTGTTAAAGTGAGTCCTATTGTCTCTAATAAATTTTATGTATGTTTATTTTAAATAATATTCTTCATTTTTATTGCGTTTGTTTTTTATACGTAAAATTAAGGAGAGAAAGAAAAAGGAGTTTTGTTCTGTTTCTGTTAGTCAATATCAAACGATATAATGAGTACTCGAAAAAAGAAAATACAAGAAGACAAATTTGACAATACTAAAAACTAAAATCACATCACAATACACAATAGAATATTATAAGAGTATGAATAAGCCTCACTGTTTAGTTGTCCTGAACTTACATGCATATGAAAAAGAAAAGAAAAGAGAAGAGAAGAGAGAAACATAATGAGATTCAATAAACACATTTGTGAAAAGATATAGCAGAAAGAAACAAAAATTCAGTTGAAGAATATCAGTACAAAGTATTTTCGTGTACATAGTAGGAATTAAAAGATAAGATGAGCGTGCACTGAGCATGATATATGTATGTATGTCTGTTCGCGTGTATAAGTAAAAATGTCTTTTTTTTTATTACACTTGTTTGTCTTTAATTTTATACAGTGACTGTCATTTTCTTTTGAATATCGTCAATTAATGAATCACCGACACACTAAAATAAAAGAAAATAAAGAAATAAAAACTGTTTGTTTTTGTTTAAACAAATTCTATTTTAATTTTTCTATGACTGACAATAACACGAAACACATAGACAATACAAAAACTTTACCGATCATAAAAAGAAATTTTTTTATATTTTGATGTTACTCGGCAAACTTATATTGAGCTCATATGTAGGGATAAACTAGAAGTAATGATAATTTTAATGATTTATGGAAATGATTAGAATAAAATTCAAACAACAAAATCATAGTTTTGACTTACAGCACAAAATTCGTCAAAACTAATTTTTCCATCACCATCTTTATCGGCATTGATGATTGTCTGTTTACAAAAAAAGATAATATTTAAAAAAACATATATTATTTCTATTACTTTATCAACAATTTGTTGTAACTGAGAATCTTTTAAATTTGAGCCAACCATCATTTTTAATACTTGAAATAATTCTCCTAAAAGATATAAAATTAAAAGTATTTTATGTTCGTGTTCAACTTCAGATAATTTCAGCAAATTGAAAAGAATTTATCTGTTTGATAGATACACAAATTAATATCAGCTCATATTGCAAAACGAGTCTGCACTAGAAATCAGACTAGTTCGAATTGAGAGCGTTAATTATTTAATGATGACAGATAGTATCGAACTTGTGACTTACTCAGTCAAATCTTTTTACCATTCAACTAAAACTGATTTAATAATACGAAGAACTTTCTTCTAGTATACACATATGATAGATCAAATAATAATGTAAAACTTTATATTTACCATTCGATATATATCCATCTTTATCCATATCGTAAATTTTAAAAGCAACTAAAAAATTTAGTTAATAATTAATTTCTATTTTTTTTCTAAAAAAAACATACATCTTAGTTTTGATTCTTTATCACCTTTAACACTAAATTGTGAAATTCCGCCAATAAATTCTGAAGACAAAAAAAAAGGACGAAATTTATTTTTTTGACCTTGAAAAATTTATCTATGTTAACAATACCTTTAAAATCAATTTCACCATTTCCATCTGTATCAAAAATATCAATAACACGTTGTACAAGTGGATTTTGTTGTAATTCAGGTATAGACATGAATTCTTGTACACTCAATGAACCACTACCATCGATATCTAATTTTTTAAACCGTTTACCTAATCGACGTATTTCATCCGCATCGACTAGCAAAATACAAAAAAAAAAGAAAATAACATATTAGAACTAGATAAAAGAAAATTTTACATGTAGCACATAGCTCGACGGGAATTGATGTCATGTTCCCCTGAATAAATATAAAACGTTTCAAATATAAAACAATCATTAGATTTCTATACATACCATGTTTAAGTTTATATAGTATCTTATATCAGTAAGGAAAAAAAATAATAAGCTTTGACAAAAAACAAATAATCTATAAATATATTATCATAAATATATTCTGTTATTTTTACCATTTTATACATTGGTGTCAAAGCCTCAATTCTGATGAAAACTTATCGTTCAACAGATGTCGCTTATATTAAAATAAATATAAGTAGACAAAATTCTTTCGTAATTAAAATATTAAAAAAAAATCATATGGTTCTTTTTTATATACGAAAATTTATTTATTTGATTTTTAAAATTATTAAATTTATCTTTGGACTATTCTTATCATCCGAAACAATCACAAGTATTAGATAGTTGTTATACTATTCGCTTATGCGCATTTATATTTTATTCTTTCTATTAAGTCAGTCAGTCAGCCATTTCAAACGTTTTACATAATAATCATTCGCCGCTTGCTCATGTTTATAGTTTACAGTACATTTACTGTTACGTATATACATTTATTTTAGATCTAATTCTTTTCCCATTAATACAATAATGTCAGAAATTAGTATACCGCGTTCAATGACTCATACTGATGAAGCTTCATCACATGAACAACAAGATCAAATTGTATTTGAAAATGTTGCTGATCAATATGTCAAAGGTGATGATGTTACAGTACATTTTATTATTTCAAACAATATTATGATTGATCTAAGTGATGATTATATTGGTTTATTACGTGTATGTTTTTTATTTTCTAATTTATATAAGAATAAAAATGTATTATTTTAAATTTAGATCGGTTGTACACATATGGAAGAATGTTTAGCTTATGCACCGGTACAATTTATTTCATCGACAGCATCGGAAACAACTCGTCATGGTACAGCTGTATTTCCGTCAACATCCTTACCAACAACAGAGGATGAATTTTATCAATTTTCGTATCTTAAAAATAAACGAAAATGTCTTGCGTCATCAATACCATTTCAATTAAATTGTTCAATTGATGATATTGATTTATTATCAAGTACAATATGTCAAGCATTATTAGAAAAAAAGCCAATGAAACATATTAATGATGGTCTTATAACATTTGCTGATCAAGATAATGATGATCTTGTTGTTGTACATACAACAGGAATGTTAATTGAAGAAAAATTACGTCAAGAAAATCAACAATTATTAGAAATTAATCGACGTTTAGAACAACAAAAAGATGAATGTAAAGCAAAATTCGAATTATTAGATATTAAATCTAATGAATATATTAATAAAGTTAAAAATGATATGCAAGTAAGGAAATAGATTAATTTTGAATCAAGGATGTTCGTTTAATTAGAAATAATTACCAAGAAATAGAACGATTATGACATTAGATTTGATAGGAATCAAATGTTGTTATCGAGAATAATGTACACTTTATGACAATCGTTGATTGAAATTTTATTCTATTAGATTTAATACATGTGAAGGTTTTTCTATAATATCAAGGATTACAAGTGGTGTAATTTAAAAGAGCGAGATATTTTAGAAATGAAAATAAGAGCAACTTTATACATACTATGTATATATTAAACTATTCAACGAGATTTCAGTACAGAGGTGTACCACCGCGCGGGGGAGTAAATATTTTTAAAACTGCATTTTTCTGGGAAATTTTTCGGAATTTAACTGGGGAAATTTTTGTGTTTTGGGAAGATTCTGCATCTCTGTTTCAGTACTTTATAAAATGAATTTTTTTACGTAAGAAACTATTCATTAAAGAAAATGACTAAAGTAGCATTAATCGTTATATTAATCGACTAGTAACGAGGAAAAAGATCTCTCTTTATGAACTATTAAGCCATTTAGTAATACGAAAAATATTTCGTAGTTAATATACCGGTGTTGTCAAGAAATCCGAAAAAAATTTACTTGAGGTTTATTAATCATTGAAGACAAAACAAGTAAAAGATGTGAACATATTAGACAGAATCTCATAGACTTATTTCTTCGAATCCACCAGTAGTGAGAGTCCACCAAGAAGCTCGGCACGATCGATGCCGTCGTTGTAGTAGCAGCGGGTGTTCAGAGTGTTGATATAATGTGAGTAAGGATGTGGGTGGGAATGTATAGCTATGGACTACTTTTCTTCTACACCAACACCTAGTTCACAAAACCTTTCTAGGTGGTTTATTTCTTTTCCGGATTACTTGACCTATTTAATATATACATGAATTATTTGTCTTAGCTTCTTGCAACAACTCATAAAGCAACTATTGATGAATTATCAACACGTCAACATTTAGAAGCTAAATTACGTGCAGAATATGATACTTGTCAAGCTTTATGCAGTCAATATCAATCTGAATCTTTACATTTTGCTGAACGTTATCGCACATTTGAAGATTCAAACGCACAATTATCTAATGAAGTAACAAAATTACGTTCACAATTATCTATTTCAACACAATTAACTAATGAACAACTCGTACAAATAAAAGATTTTGAAAAACGTTTAGTACAATCCAATGAATTATTAAAATCAGCTAATCAATATAAAAATCAATTAGAACAACAATTACGTGATTTACGTTTAACAACAGAAAAATATCAAATATCTATGCAAGCACAAATTGATGCTTATACAAAACAATCATCACAACAAGAAAATCAAATAAATGCATTAGAAACAGCAAATAGTTTATTAAAAGACGAATTAAATTCACTTAAAGCTGATAATACATTTTTATTAACAATGGCTAATGATGATAAACAATTAATAAAAGATTTACAAAAGAAAATCAATGATTTAAATGAACAACATCATATACAAAATGAACAAGTAAAATAGAGTTTTTTTATTTTTTGTTTTTTAGAGACATGAAATTTATTTAGAAACAAAATGAATTAAAAACACTTCGCAAAGAATTAGAATATTCAAAAGGAAATTCAAATGATTTAATAATTTTGAAAAATTCATTTAATGAAATTGAAAAACGGTGTGTTAAACATCAAAAAAGTGAAATTGAAGTTAAAAAACAATTAACAGCTTACAAAGAATATATTGTAAGTGTATTCATATCAAATTAAGCACTCTTTAAAGATTTATCTACGCGTATTTATAGAAAAAAATATTTCATAATTTTATTTTTTTTGTTTAGGATGAATTACAAAATAAAGTTCAAGATTTAACAGAACGATTATCGGCTGGTGCTGATGAATATAAAATTCTCTATCGTAAATATGCAGCACTTGAACGTATGATTGTAAAAGCAAATATACAATGTCCACCTTTACCAAAAACAAATCCAACAACATTATCAAATGAAACTGGTCTTAATGAAGAAGCATTAGTTACTCTTCTTCGTAATTCATATGAACTCCAACAACAAGACCGACGTCAAGAAGAAGAAGAAGAAAAAGATGAAGAACAAGAGATAGATGACGAAGAAGAACAAATAACAATAGCAGCAGCAGCAGCAGCAGCAGCAGCAACATCACAAACATCGCCTACAAATGAAGAAATACGTGAATGTCCAATGTGTTATTGGGAATTCCCAAAACATTTAACACTTGAAAACAAAAAAGATCATATTGAAAATCATTTTAATTAAATTGACAATAAAATGAAATATATAGATTTGTATATAAAATGAACAGATTTCTTTTTCGGATATACTTTTGTTCTTTCGATCTTTTTCTCATTTTAATTAAGCTTTCATGAAACTTAAAATTAATAAATATGTAAACATGATGATTTCATTCTCTCTTTTTTTTTCTCGTTCTTCAATAAAATTTAAATCCCATTCTTCGCCTTCTAATTATTTATTCAAAAAAAATAATAATTCTATATATAATTTTGTTGAATATATCTTGGAATCCGGAAAAGTTCTAACAGAAGAGAATGACAATATTCTTTCATAAATGCTTATAGTTGTCCACGTCAATCATGATTATCATGTACCGAGTGCCATTCTACTTTACTGTGCTCTGCACTTCTATTCGCAAATATATACAGGCGTGTACGTTGAGAGTATGGGTGTTGTGTCCATACTTTATCCACACTCACACCTTCTAGCTAAAATCAATACTCTTGCCAGTAGGAATGCGACAGTTCCAGTTCCAAAAAAACTGAACCTGAGATTTCACAGTCCTACTTATCAAACATTTCCAGCGCGATGAAAATCTCGTGAAACTTTCTTTATTCGCAGCTAGTACAAAGTGAACTATATCATTTCTCTTCTTTCTTGTGCATGCTTCTTTGCTGAATCTTTTTTCCAAAATTCGCCGAGTTTTGAGAAAGTACTATTTTGTTTACTAGGAGTTGAGTACATCAATTGTCGCTATTCGGAGATACAATCAGTATTTATATCAATCATCAGATACGTAAATTAGTTCTATTTTTGGTCTAGAAATTTTGACATTTCCTAGAGACATACTTGTTGTTTACGACTTTCTTACTAATTATAGAACAACTTTGAGTTCTATATCTTCTTCGAAATTCATTTATTTTAAATATCATCATCAAGTAATCGTATAGCACGTACTCCACGTAATGATGGTGTCAATTTAGGTATTTCATTTAATGATAACGATGAATCCGTACTGATATCTTCACTAATTGTTGATTCACTCGATATATCATTGTCCTTAGCTAATCTATAATAATATCGTCTTAAACGTTTAAAACAATAGATTGATAATGTTAGTAATATACATAATAAAAAACCTGTTAATAGAAAAATAATAAGAATAATATCTTTTGATTTATCATGTGATACAGATAATATTTCATTAGAAATTGTTGTTGATGTTGGCGGAATAGAAATATATGAACAAAATTCTTGTTCACTTTCTAAAAACATTTTCTGATTATGAATTACATAAATAGTTTGTAATGATGTTATTTCATTTCCACAATTAATAATTATTTTCATTGATAAACGTGTTATATTATGAAGATTATAATGAATTTTTATATGAGAATTTTGTAAATATAATTCAATAAGTAATACACGATATGCTTGATATTGAAATTGAAATATTCTTTCAATATATTCAATATTAATTTCTTCAAATAGAATTTCTTTAATTATAATATGTAAAGTATTTTGTTTTATACTATTATCATCTTTATGAAATAAATCATAAATATATTGTTGATGTAATTGAAAAAAATCTTCGAAAATATCTTGTGTATTAAATATTAATTGAATACATTGAAGTTTTATTGTTAAACATTGATTATTTTCTTCAAATTTAATATAATCAGATTTAATTGATGTTTGAATTGTACATTGTAAACATTCGGTATAATAATTTTCGATAGTTGTACTATGATTAATACTTTGTTTAATTAAACATTCGTTTATTAAGAGATTATTAGTAAATTCGAGACAATCACCATGAATATATGGAAAAAAATATAGTAAAAGAAAAAATATCATTTGAATCAAAATATATTTTGCGCCTTTTTTTCGGATAGACTTTATATTGTCAATAAAAATCTATTTAGTATGAATGGCAAATATTTCGTGGCTACTGTAACAATCATAGTAAAGATGTCGATTGCGGCGGCGGCAGCTTTTCTATGAAAGAAATTTTAAAAACTCAGGAATTTATACAAAATCTCGACTTTAATATATGCTGCACGATAACGCTTGACGAATCTTATTGATTGGCAGGAGCTACTCTAGTTTAAACCGATCACAGCCTTGAAAATCCAAAGATTTTTTAAAATGCCATCGCGGTAGCATTTTATGACTATCGGCGCGGTGCGGCAGTGGGTGGATGTGAGCGAGAGTAAAAATAACAGCACCCACACGCACACTGTCACTCATACTCTAACTCTTATCTACACCCAAGCCTTGAACGAGCCTGAGCCTAGACCTAGCTCGACAGGCTCGGTACATCCCTACATGTGTTATGACTGAAGGAATTGGCAATCATTTCTTCGTATGAAATCTAAACATATCTATTGTATATTTCGAATCAATATTACACATAAACAAATATAGAATATATGTGTTAAATTATTTTTAACATTTTATTTATTATAAAAAATTTCTAATAAACCGAACTAAAATATACTACTACTATCACTTGATATTGAAATATTTTCATTAGATAATATACTTCCTCTTCGTTTGCGATCTATATCAATTTGTTGATTACTTCTTTTACATAACATATATATACAAAAAGTAAGTAATAAACATGGTAATAAACTTCCACCACTAACTAAACTAACAATAAGTATAATATTTTCTTCAGATTTCTTTGTAGAAGTTTTATACACAAGAGTAGTTATTGATACTTTAGTAGTTGTTTCTGTAATAACATTTGTTGTTAGAGCTGTGGTAGGAATAATAGGAGAGAAAGTTACTGGAATTTCACATTTGAGTGATTCTCGTAATGGTTCTCGACCGTGTTGATCAAATACATAGTTATATTGATATAATCCTTTAGAAACACAAAAGATATTTATTTGTAAAGATAATAATGTCATATTTTGTATATCAGGATTTATTTCGAGTGAAACATTATCTTTGCGATTTAGTAAAGCAAATTGTAAACGAGAGTAACTACGATTTATTACATCATGAACTACTTGAACTGTACTAAAACTAAATTCCTTAATTCCACCATATTGAATATGAATAAAAAGCATATTTTGTGTTAATCGATCTGTTAAATTTTCTTTATCGAATAGACCATTTATGATCCGAATGTATTGCGAAACAAAATTTTTATATGACTTAGTAGTATTAAAATATATTTGTATACAATGAAGATTTGAAATTGGTAAGCAATTTTCATTTGCAAGAGTTTCATTCCATACTGTCATTCGTTTTGTTATATTGCATATCAAACATTTTTCATAACTTTCACCACCCTTCCAGGACATTAATTCACAATCATTAGTATCAGTATAATTCACATCATTCTGACTGTATGTTAAACAAGATCCATAAATATTTAAAAAGAAATTAATAAAAAATAAAAGTATATATATCATAGAAAATCAAAAAGCGCGTATATATATATTAAAGAAATAAAAATATTGCGTAGAATTTATCTAATTCTAATATGAAATATTGCATATAATCTTTACATTTACATAATTACATGTTTTTTAAGTTTATTTATATTTTTAGTTTTATATAAATATTGACACCATCCAACTTTGCATCCATCACATCGACTTGAATCATGTGATATTATTTGTCCTCGATTTAAACGTTGTGGTTGATTACAAATTTCTTCGAATTCATCATCAATTAATTTAACATTATAAAATACTTTTAATATCCATAGATATAGACGATAAAATGTCTTTTTAATTTCTTTTTCATCAAGAAAACCAGTACTAAACATATTACATGTTTGACAACCTTGTTCAAATATTTTCATTTGTATTCGACCAATATTTTGACCATTGAGAGATTTATCTAATCGTGCACGAAAAAGTATTGTAGTGAATGCTGATGACCAACTATTGATTTTTTTCTTTTGTCTAAATAATTGAGATGTTGATTCAGTACATGACATACATATGAATTTTGAATGTGCATTATGTCGTCGAAATATCCAACCATTATTTGATTGTTTTATATTTGTACGAGTAAGATTAACATTATCAGGCATTATTTCTAATAACCATTCGGAAAGGCCATAGAATTCAAAAGATGAATTAAATATATGTTGGAATATATGAAATGAAGTCATTTGATTAATGTTCGGAAGATATGTAGAATAGTATTATAAATATAATAAAGATTTTTGTCTTGTTTTTCTCATTTTTTACACATGAGTACATGTAAATATTATTCTTATTTTTGATCATCTGTTGCTTATCATCATTATCTACTTGTCCTAAGAAATTAATGTCTGTATTGATTAATGAATCAGATAAAAACAAGCCAAGAAATAAAAGAACAGAAGTCCCCTGTGCGCGCTCTATGTCTTTTCTCAAGGTCCAGAATCTTCTGCATGTTGATTACTAACCCATTTTTTTTATACATATGTAGTTCTTCAAGGATATTACAATAGTTATGTCGTCTTAGAAAGCGTAAAATAATTTTATACAAGAAAATAAATCTTACGAAATAATCTAAATCATGTTATAGTTTTTCATGATGTATGTATAAGGTTTAAAACGACTGCATCTATAATCATGAATATTAATATTACTGTTATGAAAGATGATCTATTGTATTATTCATTTCACAATAACGATAAATACAATGATCAAAAGACGTTAAAATCAAGCAATTATGTGAAAGAAAAACAATATGACTTTGTTTTCTCATCTAACTATGTTATGAATGAACACACTGATGTGACCGTAGCATTCATATTATTATTTATTTGGCGGTCGTCTATCTTGAATGAAATGCTTTCATTCATTTACATTCTTAGTCAATTGTCATTATTGACCGTTCTATATATATATAATAATGGATAATATATGATAGATTATTTTTTTTTCTAAAATTATGGGAAATACACAGGCAAATGATATCTATATTAATGAACCACATCCATCCGATGTAAGAAAATATGAATTCTACATATTCAATTTATCCAAAAAATCTTTTTTTGTAGCTATGTGATTCACGTTCATTAATTGGTACATGGCGTGATACAAAATATGGTTCATGTATGAGTTTTGATTATATTTACAATGGAAAATCAAGTTATCTTATTGGTACATCATCAACAGGAGCTTATGCACAAGTACGTTTAAATGGTGCTATTGTCGATTTAGTTTTAATGTTAGCTGATGGTTGTTCGCTATGTCAATATAAAGGTCTATTAGAAATAAATAATGATGATAAACAAACACATACAATACGATGGATTAAAAAAAATATTAAAAATGGACAATGGTATACGACTAGTTCGTGGATGAAAATCTAAAATTGTTTATAGAAGAGAAAATAATGAGATGTTTTTGTTTTGTTATTGTTTATTTATAGTAAATATATAAAAGTATGTAAATAAACTACTAAATATACATAATATTCTTATGTTATGATCAATTTTCTATGTATCGCTAAAATATACAAGTCGTTATTAGTGTAGGCTCTTGCGTTGGTCCAGGAAACTTAAATGCATCATTAACTTTCACTTATAAAAATTATACTCTACTTTTAATGCATTATTTTGTATTAATTCATCTAATTAAAAAGAATAGATTTATTTATATACTATATACTATTGAAAAATACTTCTATTTTGATCGCCATCTTTGAAGAACTTTTCGAATGGTTGAATTTGTTATGTCTTTTCTTCGCTGAAAAAGAAAATATTTAAAAAAAAGCTATAACAGACATTGTAAACCGACGTGTTCTTTCAAAGGAAAAATACCTTTCTTATCGTACAACAATCATTGTCTACACGAACTTTGCGTCAGTTTATCAACAATCGAGTGAATAATGCAAGTGACTCATTTTTTTTATTACGCAGCTTTAGTTTCATATTATATATAAATAAAAAGAAAAGAAAGTTGTTTATCGTATTTTTTTGAGGCATTGAATTATAAGCATTAATGATATGATTACCAGTTTTATCGTTTAATTGTAATGTACTTGGATTTCTTTTGAAGTATTTCTTAAATAAAAGAACATATAAAAATTATTGTAGTATAAGTTTTAGCGATCGTCTTGTGAAATACGGTTTTTCAATTAACGTTAAAATAGTCTTTTAGATTTCACAAATTGATAATTTATTATCATGTAATAATGAAACGACAAACGACAGCGGCCCAAATATCTTTTATTCATTCTACGAATGATGACGAATTTAATGCATCAAATCATAATATGATTTATATGAATGAATCTGATGAAGTCTACCAATTGATTATACAAAAAATACTTCATTTCATTACATGTATTCATAATCAAATGTAGAGGCTTTTATTTTGCAAGTTTATTCTAGTTGATGTTTATAATTTCATTTATTTTACAAGGAATATTTATGAATATATTGAATATGAAGACATAATACCAAACATATTGGTGAGATTTTTTTTCTAAAATTTTTTTTGTTAAAATCTTTATGCGAAATAATTTATCTGTTTCTGTTTAGGATAATATGTATCTTGTTGATTTGTGTTCATCGTGCAACGATTGTGACGAAATATCATGTGTCTGTAAGGAATGGGTATATATTTTTTTGTTTAAGAGAAAAGAAAGAATTTGATTTATTTTTTTGAAGATTTTTTCCATTCCGCATATTTCATTACATCTGTCATATTCAAAAACAAAAAATTTAGATATAAAAGTTAATAATCTTATGACAGAAATTACAAAAGTCAACGATGATATTCAGCATATAAATAATCAATTAATTAGTTATCATGGTTCCTTCCAACGTTTAAGTGAAGAATATTTGAAAATACGAACGAATTCGCAAGAAATAAATATTAAACAAAAACTAGAAGATTTTCGTGATGCTACATCTAATGGATCACTGGTATGGAAAGTTGAAAATTTCACTCAAAAATTGAGTGAGTAATGAATTTCTTGAGAAAGTTTTTCTCAGTTTTATGAATTTTAGACGATGCTCGATCGGGACGACAAATATCAATTGAGTCACCATTATTCTATTCATCACCAACTGGCTACAAAATGTGCGCTCGATTACATATGTATGGTGATGCTGATGCTCATGGTACACATATGTCTACATTTCTTGTTCTTTTAAAAGGAGAATATGATGCAATTCTAACATGGCCATTTAATTTTCGAGTAACATTTTGTTTGTTTGATCAAACTGGTCAAGGATATCATATTGTTGATTCATTTGATCCTGATACAACATCACTTAGTGTTCAAAGACCCAATTTAAATATGAATATTGCTAGTGGAATACCGAAATTTTGTCCATTGGCAGTCATCGAGCAATCACAAAATTATTATGTTCGTGATGACACAATGTTTATTAAAATTAAAGTCAACTTTAACTATGAACTAAAGATACCTCTACCATATACAGCACAAGATAATCCTGAATTGCCGGTACATATACAAGACACCATACATCGTGAAAGAATAAAACATTATCAGCAACTTCAAGAAAAACGTGATGCTGAAACTAAATGTAATGACAGAGAAATATTGGATCGTAGTTTAATTCATCAAAGTCTCTAATAGTCAAACAATTATTATCGAATTCAGTAATTATTAATCCTGAAAGTATACTTTCTAAAGATATTTTTAAATGATTAATATAGTGATACAACACATTACATTATATTATATATTTTATTATTGTTCTGGCACACTATTTTGTTGATATATAGATGTCGTAATTTATGCAAATCTTAAGAGTAACGATGTGGGTGATTTATAATCCTATTTTGTGTTCCGATTCTCAACAGTGGATTTAGTTCGTTTACAGAAAGCGTCGAAAAAATATGAGCTCTATGGGTAGTGAAAAATCTGATCTCATAAATGGTTGGCCTTAAAGGAGGCTAAGCCTAAGGGATGTGACGATGATAATGATAATCTGATGAGATTCGCAGCGGAGTCGAAACACGTGTCATGACAGCTAGTCTCACCCACACCCGTATGAAGGTAGTGGAGCTTGACCAAAGACGTACAGATTAGAGAGGATTTTCGACGAGTTGTTCGCCTAATTATATTTTTATGAAGAAAACTATTTTGTTCTCAGTCTTGAATAAACGTTATAAATGAAATCAAACATCAATTATCATATAAAGAAAAAAATTGTCAAGACGTTCAGTAATATGTTTTTGAAATAGAATAGAACATAATCGTAGCCACCAACGTCGAGGAGCTTTAATCAAATAGTGTGCCACTTCGTGTTTAAAAGTTCCATAAGCTGAAACTAGAACATTGTTAACAATAAAGTTTCCTTCGAATGTCAATGGAGCATATGCATCGTAAAATTTTCTTGTTCTAATATAAGTAATAGTTACTTCTTCCAGAGTTTGTTCACCATTTATTAAGTAAATATAGTCACCAACGCGAGCTTCATTTGCAAAAGTATATCGGGGTTGAATGTTGTTGTACTTTTTTAGCAGTAACGAGTGCGCTGGTGTTATATATAATGCAGGAGACAATGAAGATGTATGTATCTCTAAGTATTCAATTGGTTTTTTTTCATTGTAGTATTGATATACGTCAACTGCTAAGACAGTACTCCACACTAAAGGAGATTGATATTCTCGGGATGCTAATATTCGATCTCCGACAGCTAGATTACGCATTAAGCAAATTGAACCGTCTTGTTTCAGGACTGTTGTCTCGCCATGAAAACATACTGGACGAAAAGCTAAAAAGAAACATAAAAATACAGCATATACTATAACATATTTCTCTTTGAATGATGAACAGTTTCTCATTTTCAACAAAAGATACGGATTCATTGAATCAATCAGTCTGCAACAAAAATATCGAGCTTTACACGTGGTACGTCTGTTTCGACTAATTTTTATTAGTATATCAAAAGAAATATGGTTGGCTTACGTTGTACAGGTGCTACTGTTTGTGTCTCTATTTGTGTAACAGTCTGGATAATCGTTACAGTAGAACGTGGATTAGTTGACATAGACCCGTTTGATGCTATAGAATATACAAGATTATTGATAATAAATTACTACAGAATAACTTTCAATACATACGAGGACATATACTCGAATTTGCACGGGTTAATGGATAACAGAGTGGTTGCCCAAAGCAACTGTTGAGAACACAAATTGTGTTATTTTCTGTGCACGACAAATTTCCGGTGCAGGGACTCAGGTCAGCGTAGGAAACTAGATTTGTAGCACACAAACCAGTTCCATTTGCCATTTGAAAACAAACACAGTTTCCGTTGGTTGAACATCCAGATGAGTATTTACCACAGCTCTGCGAATAGCAAGTTGAGTTGGCTATAACGAACAAATAATCAAAAAATATATTGACTAGAGTTAAAAGTGTAAATACAATTACCAAGCGTAACTATGAATGTTAAAGCAAACATAAATATAAATATTATTTTACGCCCATGAACTTGCATTGTTTTCTACTGCTGTTGAAATAAAATTGATGAATAGGCGATACTGTTTTGAATCTTTGACTACTAATGAATAATTTTGAAATATACTTTGCGCGACTTATATAGTTCTCAGTTCCCCCTTACAGTGTAAACAAAAAACGTAAAATATTTCCCAGACTTCTGACGCATGACAATATGAGTAATCGGTTTTTTTCCAACATAAATTCTGCATTACTCATTGTAAACAATTTCAGATGAAAGAGAAAAATTTAATTATGTTTATTACGGAAATTTCAGACATTATTTCTTTTGTCCCATGGTTAAATAAACAGA